GGCTACAGGCCTACGGACTTAGTATTTCGCCTATAGTTCTACACACTGGTATTCAAACTTTCAACCTGAGGAAGAACACGACCGGCGGCGGTGGCGGCGCGTGGCGGCGGGCGCGGTGGATCCCAGCCCCGCTCTCCGCTCCGCACCGCTGCACTGAGCCCCCTCCAGCGCCGCTCACGGTGAGGAGGTATACATCTCATTTGCAGCGAGCTTGCTTCTTCGCGGAGAACAATCACCGACAGGTGGGCGGAAACAATTCTCAGGTTTTGTTGTATTGCGAGGACGGCGGAGCGCTGCGCCCGCCGCGCATATTCCTATTCTCCCCACACTGCGATGTTTGCGGTATCTCGGGCTCACCGCCGCGAAAGTGCTTGAGTCTGGGGCTTTAGTGCAGCCGTTCTTCGGCCTTTTAACCCCCCCCCCTCTCCTCCAAGCCAGGCGTTTACTTCCACGCCACCGCACCGCCCCTTTCCCCTTACCGTGCACCGCACAAGCCACTTTTACAAACTCCCCTCCCCTGCCCCCGTCCCGCTCGCCGTCCTAAACTTTTTGGTTATGGCTGAACTTATCGAAGTCATGCGTGGCTCCTTCATATCTACGGCTCACCATCAGGGCTGCTCGCGTATCTCCGATATCGTATTGACTGCGCACGGTTCGTTAACTCCCACTAAATTAGCTTTATGGAAACGAATATATATCACGGGGATTCCCTGCTGCGCGCTCTTGCTCCCAGACCGGCCCGACCCGACCGGCCCAGCCCAGCCCAGCCAGCCCCAGCGGACCGGGGAAAGGACCAGGGGAGAGGGGGCGGCGGGGCCCGCGCGCGCGGGGGCGCCTTCGGAGGCAGACGGGCTCACAGAGGGCAATCAATAATTTTCCCGTGAGTAATGACCCAATCACACTGCCGGGCCGCGTGCCCCGCCGCACCGCGCCGACGAGGATGGGTTGCTAACAAGATGAGATGGAGGCGGATGGAGCTGGAGGAGGCGCTCCCCTCCGCCCCACCACCACCACCCCCTCACCCGGAACTGGGTATGTTTGCGCGATGGCCCCCCGCGGCCCGACCCGCGACCCCCGCCTCCTTCCCGTCCCCCGCCGCCGCCCACCTCGACGCGGCCCGCCCGCCCGCGGGCGTAGCCGGCATAACAGTTTGAGGGATCACTTTCCTCGCTACTTGTATCTAATTATGATGATCGACAGGAAATAATTTATCATTCTGGCTCACGCGCCACGTCGCCCTGCTGCTGCAAGGGCGGGAGTTGGACCCAGCCCCCTCCCCAGCATTAGGCCCCCCAGCCCCCTCCCCGCCGGGCACCAGTCGCAGGTGCATTTTTCATTAGTGGCTGTCGCTCCACCCTCCGGCTGTGGCGTTTCATTCCGCCTCGTGGGCATCCGATCCGGCAACAGAGAAGAGATTCATCAAGAATTGGTCACCATGGCCCCACGACGTATTACAGATTGTGGAATTTAACATCAAATCGATTTAATATTCGCCATCCTTGCCGTCCTCGATCTTTATTTTTTGGACAGTTCTTGCTAAATCCCCGATACTTGTGCTTAAACGGTTTAGGGGGAAAAGAAGATTGCAGTGAAGGTCACACCGTCGCGTCGCGCGCTCGGGTTGCGCTCTCCGCAATCGACCATTCTCTCGACTTGCCCGCCGCCGCCGCGCCGCCCCGAGAAGAAATAAGCTGCAAACTCTTGTTGAGAATCGATTCCTGGTCCCTGCAGGGGCGCGGCCCGGGCCGGATAAGTCGGCTAAGTTCTTGCGAGTCGGTTTTGGGAAAAGGGGA